TACCTGAAATTTTAGATATTACTCCTTTGAGTGTTGATTTAAGACTGATGTTAGTTAGAAATTTTTGATATTACTAAATTACAAAGATTTTACAATTTTATATGATTTTTCTGATTGGTTCGTTTTTGTGGGTTCAAGCGGCATCCCATTACATTTTTGACCAATCAGGTATTATATTAACCGGTGATTCCATGGTACGTGGAATTCGATCGTGAGCAGGTGATTAGAATTTCTTAGAAAAATGGATTAATGGTATGATGATAGATTTAGGGACGGAATGCATGACAATGAGAGGGATTATTTAATAGTTCTGAATTATATAATAAGGGATGAGAGTTTATTATTGCTATCATGTATGAATAAAAATAAATAATATTATTCCATTAACCATGCTTGAGTAAGGCGTTAAGAGTTTATATTTTTTTTTTGCAAAATTCAATTTAAAGTGGTTGAAATAGGATGTCTTGCGCGTTCAAAACAGGTTTTCGTGGTGCCGAAAAATATTAACCACAGATGTAACAAAAATTATCTGGATTATGCACACAACGTTTTAGAGTCGAAGCCATACCGAAAACAGCAGTTAAAAAAAAAACTCTTAGTTATTCGTTGAGCTGCAATAATCATAGTCGAAATGACTAATCAAGGTAGTTCCATAAAACTCAAAAACTAGAGCTATTACGAGAAAACGAAGTAGATTTAACAACTAGGTAGAGGAAAAAATAAAGTGCCATTTTGTCGCGCAGTGATATTATAAAATTGAACTTACCGTGATTGTTGGTATTGAAAATAAAAATCTAAATGGTGCAAGATATCTGCTGGTCTCATTTTCGCCGTCCGTACATTCTTCTGCTGCATCTAACAGCATCCAATGAAGGGTATATAACAGTTTGGTTTCGGCGGCACCGAGACTTTGTAAATCTTTAACTCTAAAATAAAGATAGCAGGTAGATAATTAAATAATATGTTATTTAAAAATTTTCAATTTACCTAGAATGCAGTAGTGTAGCTGCACAATGCATAACATGTGGTAAGGCGGCTTGGACGAAACGCCATCTAGGCACTGATTGTAACGCACCGGCCAAACTCGGTGATAGTCCAAAATGAATATTCTGAACTATTACTTTTTCGAATGACTATGGGAA